ATAGACTAATTCCATATATTAAAGTGATTATAAAATCAAGAATTAATACATAAGAGATGAATAAAAAAGTTAATTATTTTAATATTAAATAAATTATGTTTTTCTATTATAATCAAATTATTTCAAAACTCATTTAAGTGTGATAACAATAAAAAGGTAGTTTTTTTTAAAAGAAGATTATTTAAGTATGAATAGAAAACAATTTTTCAACTAATCCAATAGCATGAATTAAATATATAGAATATGTAAATTGATGAATGTCTCATTAAATTGAAGATTAAGAGAGGGCATTTATAGTATTTTGTTATTGAGTTCTTACTTTTTATGGAAGCATTATGTTATAATAGTTTTCTATTCAAATAATATAATTACCTCTAAAACTTATTTTAATTTTTTAATTAAATATTTTTTTGCACCCCCGGTCATTTTTTTATCTGGATTTTTAAAGGTGAATAACAAAAAATAATAATTAAAATAATTTGTTTTCAAAAGAATCTCTCTTACTCTAGAAATCATTATTGCAGCCATGACGACCTTTTGTGTATTACTAAATTATAATTTTTGATATCTAGCAAATCGATGATGTTTTTTAAGTCCATTTAACTTCAGATTAAGCAAGAGTGATTGCAAAGAGATTACCCCCTGGGTTTAGTATTAATTTAAGCAGATAATCGAAAAGAGATGTTAAAGTTTGCTAATCAAATAATAAAATTTTAGAAATTTCAATAGGATATTTCATCAGATGAGGAGAATAAAGTTACTAAAAAGACATATGTTGCACCTTATAGAGCAGAAAATACTGATGAAATGAAAAGATGCTTAACATTACTATAAAAATTAAAAAAACATTAATTAGCAGCACCATTTTTAAGGAAATTAGAAAATGTCAATTATCCTTAAGAATTGGAATACGTTGACTTATAAATTGTTGAATAAAATCTCAAAAATAGTATTTAATAAATTGAATAATTATTTTAGATGAATATTTTTCTGCCACGTAATTTTGGGGTGATATAAAGAAAATTTGGTAAATGTCCTATGCCATGAATAATAAAGGAACATAATTATATGCTATGACTCAAGAGTTAGAATAACATTTCAATGAATTATATAAAGAATTAGATAAACCATATCCATAAAAGTAAGTAGTTGAGCAAACACCAAAATAAGAAAAATCGAAAAAACCACCTACTGTCTAATAAACTAATAGTAATAGTAATCATAATAATTAAAATAATAAGAAACCAATGTATAATAATAAAATAATAATATTAGAAAATAACCAAGTTTAATGGAATAACCAATGAATATGCAAGAAAAAAGAGCATTAGTATCAAATATAAATAGTTTGCCTCCAGAACATCTTAGAGGGGTTTGGGAAATAGTATCAGATGGACTTAAGATATAAGAATAAAATGATGAATTAGAATTTGATATTGATACTTTACCTGTTAAGAAAACAAGATAGTTGGAAAAATATGTAAACACAAAATTAGAATATTTAAAAAAACAATAAAGTAAGAAGGCAGCAGAAGATAATAAAAATTAAGATAAAAATGATAGAATTGTATAAATTGATAATTAATTTAGATACATGCTGCTAATAATACTTATAATCATGCTCCATAACCAGTTTCATAATTAAAATAAACTGACACTGGAGACAGTTCATTTAGCAGTGATGCTGAAGAATCTGTTTGATTTTTTTTTATATTTGTTTTTTGATATATTTCATTAAAAATTAAATTAAAACAATTGTATTAATTTCATTCTAATTTATTCAAAAATTATGATATTTCATTTTTAATTTATGATGTCAAATTAACTAAATTAGTATCTTTTACTTATAATAATTTATTTAATTTAGGCAATTTCATAATTTTATCAAATTGTAGAATTAATGTATCATAAGACTTTTGTCTAATCTAATTTTTGTCCTAAGCCTTATTTTATGGTTATTTTTTTGCAGTTTTATATGATAAAATATTCTATTTAAATAATATGATAATATTACATCCTTAATTTAATAAAAACAAAACTTAATAAATTCTAATCCTTTAATAACTTAATATGTATATTTAGAATTTAATATTATTATAACATTTTCCAACAATAAGATAATATCTTCTGCTTATATTTTTCTTTATGCTGGATCTAATTTCAACAATGCAAATAAATCTATAAGTACAGAATTATCATTACAACTATATAAATATATTTATAATTTTATTACCGATTTATTTATTAAATGCATTACTTCATATCATTTTGAGAGTATAATTTTATAATTGGTTTTAATTTTTATATTCTATCGTTTAAAATCATTTTGATTTTGCTATGATCATTAGAAATTTCTTATATAATTTCTAATTATATATATTTATCTTTATTTGATTTTGTTTAAATAAGTTAAGAAAACTTAAGTGAAAGTTTTTAAGTTGTAATTATATCATCAGAAATTTAATCCTCTTATTCATAACTTTAGTCAAAGTTTTCTTTTGATTAGGATGGATAAAAGCATTAATCAAATTACATTTATTATGAAAAGGGAATTTCAATATCTTTAATATCAGTATAATTATCTTCTACTTATAATCCATTTAATTCAAGTTAGAATTTATGTAATTTTAATATTTCACCTCTATCTTCCAATATTTTCACAATATCATCTTCAATTTTAATATCTTTTATTCTTTACCAATCCATCTACATTGTATTCAATTATAATAATTCAGTATTAAAAATATCCAGATTATTTTATTATGTACAAATTAAGATATCTTATTAATAATCAAATGCCATTTTTTAAATTGGTTATTAAGTTAATGAAATTCGATTCTTCTATAAATAAAGGAAATACTTAAGTTTATTTATTAATATCCCATGATTAAATCGTAAATTTGTCTCCACTTGTAAATAATGTATTGGTATTTTTGATCATCAATAAATTATTTACTGAATCTTGATGTTCAAGTAAAGCTTAATATTAAGAATAATTTCTGAAATCCCAAACACTTATAGTTGCATCTTGAGAACCACAAATAAATCGAAATGTATCTAAATCTGTAACAATATCATTTATTTATTGTTTATGTTATTTAATTTAAGCTATAGGCCCATTTTATCTTAAGTCATGAATCATGATTACTGAATCTTAAGATCCACTTAAATAAGTATTAATATCATAATTAGTTAAATTTGTAATGACATCTTTGTGGGATGATTTAATTTCCTATTCTAAACAAATTAATGAATAATATTACAGATTTATTGTTCTAAATTGAGAATTAGAATTTTCCCTTATTAAGTTCCTTCTAATATCAAATTATTTTATTAACTAAACTATATACATGAAACCTTAGCAGAATTGGATAATGTCTAAATAATTATAAATAATTATATACCATAAGTGGTTAATAGACTTATTCTGACCATAAAAATATATTTTTTTCATTGACACTTATAAATTGATTTTAATTTAGTGAGAATTTGCAACAAATAATTTAACTTTCATTTTAGTAATCATCTAAACATAAGATTTTTATTACATATTGTATTTTGTTTCATATTTTCTTTATTAACTTAAAATATAATTTTTATATTAAATAATAAATAAACTAATTCTACTTATTAAATCATCAATTCATTAACCAATCTATAATGTCTATTTAAGTTATTCAAATAATTCTTATTATTCATTTGTGGATAATTAAGATACATAACCTAGTACTGTCCCTAAAGTTACTGCCTTTGGTAATACAATTTGATGTAAATATAAATAAGAAAACATTCCTGTTAATATTTAACAATCCATTCTATCAGTAATTCCTCCATGTCCTGGAATTGTGTCACCAAAATCCTTAATTTTAATACCTCTCTTAAAACCAGATGCAAAGAATCCACCAAATGGTGAAACTAAACTTGTAAATAAACTAAACACCATTGCATGAATTTAGAAATCACTAAAATAAATTGAATCAATTCCAAATATTGAAAAAGGTAATTATCTTTAAGTACTTATAAAAACACTTGGTATTTCACATGTTAATGAAGAAAAAGGAGAAAAGGGTAATTAATGTTATGGACATGTCAAATATTGACTTCCTTATAATAAATAAGCAAACTATATTATAAATATATTATTACACAAAACGATGCAATTAATGTTGAAAAACAACCTCCTATAAAACCTTCCCATGTTTTCTTAGGTGATAATTCAATTAATGGTGTCTTTCCAAATGTAACTCCAAAAATATATGCAAATATATCATTTGTTATCACCAAAGAACATGGTAATATAAACCAAACAATTCCTAATAAATTTATATTTTTATAATACCTTCAAATATATTCATAATCATAACTGAACTTTGAGCAACTACAAGTATTAATGTAATATGAGTCCATCCAAACATTCTAAATTGATATCTATAATATCCTTTTTTAAGTGATAATGTAAACATCAAAAATCCTGCTACCCATAACATAAAAGTTATAATATTATGATAATTTAAAATAAATGACAGCATATGCATTCTAAATGCGTATTCTGATAATTTAGATTAAAACAATTTTCCATAACAAAAAAATGTGGCAATTCCAAAGAAATACCAATTTATAATAGGTGAATACTTTACATTCAATTCTTTCTCATAATTTCTTTTCAATCCTAAAATTTCTTTAAATATCCCAATATTAATCAATAAAACCAATCCTATTATATAGATATGACCTGCCCATAAAACAGCCATAAAACCCAAAATCATTACAATTGTCCAAATTGTTCTTACTACAAAGTTGTTATTTTTAATGATTATAGGGACATTTCTTTCTAAATTGGGCAATTTGTTTTTAGAAACTATCTTTTTTGGAGGAGGACCTCTTCTTCTTACTTATGTATCAGACATTTCAGAAAAATCATTATCTGTATTAGATTCTTCTTATTAAGAATCAACTTTAGATTTCATTTGTGATTAAGAAAATATATTAATAAATTAATATCAGCAATCTTTATTTAAACCTGTGTCGAATTTTAGTAATTCTTTTTAAATCTTATTTATTTTTTTCATATTGTAAGTTGATTGCTATTATGTAGGTTATTAAAAGGGCATTGTAGCAAAAGGGAATCCTTAATTGCTGAAAGCTGGTGAATTAAATAATCTTAATAAACAAGGCACATCCTATTAGGGAGCACTCTAATCTAAATTATTTGTAGATTTCATATATTCATCAAATAACTACAATTGGCCAGAATAATTTTTGTTTCTTATTTCATAAGGAGATGAAATATTATTGGGACTTTATTCTAATCATACTTTCTATCATTTACATATCAAATAATGTAATGGTGAAAAAGGTAACATAGGTGAGTATACTGGTAAGCCAAGCATAAGTGGTTATTATTATTATTATTATTATTATTATTGTTATTATTACTATTATTATTATTGTATTTATGACTATTATTATTATTATTATTATTATAAAAATTACTATTAAATTTAAAATTACTATTATGATTATTCTTGTTGATGTTCCTCTTTTATTTCATTCATTATATTATTTTCAATTTACATATAAGGCTAATCATTATTATAAAGTACAGTATCTTTGTTATTACTATTATTATTATTATTATTATTGTTGTTAATTGTTTTTCTTATTCTCTTACTAGTTAATGGCACTGGACCTTCGTAATCTTTACCTTATAAATTAGCCAATAATTTATGAATAGCTATATCTTCATTATCCAATTACTAATGCTAATCTTAATTTATACATTCTATCTCCTATAATTGTTCATCATAGAATTGTATTAATTTTTTACTTAATTTTCAGTCCTTCCCTAAATACGTTTGGAAATTAAAGACCATCTCTTTCCTATTTCCTACACAAGCAACAATAATTATAATTATTCTGGTTAAGACCATTCAGATCTAATTACATATCTTTATAATACTTTTTTAAGTCTGGATTTAAATAATTATTCCATCTTTCTCTAATCTATTTAGCATGTCTAACTGTTTTTGCTGGATTTGCCCTATTAAAATCAATAGTAATTTGAGTCCAATTCTTATTTTCACTTGGATCTGTAATCAATTTTTGCAGAACTTCATCTTCCTCAGCATTCCAAGGAGCCATTTTTAAATTTGTTTTAAGCATACTTATCCATTTTAAATTCAACAATTATTCTGTTACTCCCAACACTGAAGATAGATATTACCAATCTTAATCAGACTATGCTATTAACAAAACATACAGGATTGAGATCAGACTTATTTGTTAATTCAAAATATTTCAATACAGTCCAAACAAATAGGATTTTATCTTTCCTGTGCCACTTTGTACGATGTTCTTCATTTGTACGTCTACTTTTATTGTAAACATCTACTTTGAAAACTCTTAGAAATAATAATTCAGGATATTTTTGCAAGGTGGAAAGCTTTTCTCATTTATTTTCAGAACTTTTTTGATTTATTTCAATTTAACAGGTCTATCTTTGAAATCACTGATTTCCTCCAGAAATTAAGCAAAATTTGACATTTGTTATTAATAAAAAAAAATAATTATTCAATTCTTTTAATAAAATCCTTTTATCGATAGCCAAAATAATTTTGAATTGTGGAACATACATGATTTAAATTAAATAATCAAATAATTAATATCTTAATCAAATTCTTTAAATTTAATGTTAATTTTATTTATTTATTTAACGACATAGACTTAATTATTTTTTTTTAATAAAGATATATCTCTTATTATATACTTAACCTAAACTTAATCTTATTTCATTTATCAATATAAAATAAATTTTAATAACATAAATCATTATAACTCAAAATGTTTTTTTATTTAAGGTAATCTTATGTTTGAAATCCCCTATTGCTTCACTCTTTTATGTAATATAAGGTAACTCAATCAAATAATCTAATGGTTCTCCATTTTAAATGCATTCTTTATCCAATAATTAATATATATCTTCTACACTTATTTCACCTAATTAATCTTATGTTATATTATAGAATTTTGATTTTATAAATTAATATTAAGTACTACCAAATTCAATTTAAGAAATGATATGTATTTTATTATGAATTATATCAATATCTTTAATAAATCCTAATCCTAAAAATGTCCCATCTTACTCTACAGCTACTAAATTAAATATAAACACAGAAGCTATCTCTTCTAAATCATAATAATTTTTTTTTTCATTTATCACTATAAATTAACATTAATTTGTATCTATAATTTTAATATCGGTTTATGAACATAATGTTAAGTAATTTAAATTTTCTACACCAAGATTTTAAGCAATCTTATATGTTCGATTATATTTTCTTATTTATGGTGTTTATACTTAAATAGTTTAACCATATATTTCAGAATCAATTTCTTCATGAACTATTTATAATTATGATTTAAATGTATCAAAATTACTAATAAAAGATTTTTTAGATAATTAATCATATAAATAATTTGATTTTTCCATAATTTTTTTATGATTATCTCTAGAAAGTAAAATACATTTTGAAGGTTATAAAATATTCATTAACTCTTAAATTATAGTTATTCCATAACTAGTTATGAAACCAGCAGTATTAATTAATAATGGATAATCCTTTAAAAGTTGTGACTAATTGTAAACATCCAAAGCTTAAGTTACTTTATGAAAATATAGATCAAAATAATTAAAAACTTAAAATTCACCAACAAATCCTTAAAATAATATCTAGGGTCTTGATAAAAATAAAGGTAATTCTAATTTAATAAGAGTAACAAAACCAGGTAAAATAATAGCTTATCCTAGATCAGTATCTAAAATAAAGACTTGATTAGAATTCATTAATTTATTTGCATATAATTATAAACTTGTAGATTTTCCTACTTATTTTTCACCAATAAACATTACACTTCTATCTTAACAGTCAAAAAGGTCCTATTTTTATTCAGTCAAAATATAACCAAAATCACTAATTTCATAATGACCATAAATTAATAAAGTTAATTCTTTTGGTTAATTTTTTAGAATGAAATTCATAAATTCCAAATATATTTCAGATTATATTTATGATGATTGAAATTTTGTTAAATAATCTTCAATTTTTTAAGGTACATTATGAGCAATTACAGAGACAAACTCATTACTATTGAATTCATATATTTAAGGTTTCCTTACTTCATATAAATCCATATCCAAATATCCATTAACAATTACAAATTAAAATTGACCTTTAATGTGAATTTACTAAAATTTTAATGAAAATATAATACTTCTTTATGTGTTAGCTTAATTTATTAAATTGTTTCAGATTCAAGCTAAGTTGTTGATTATTTTCTTTTTTTTGATGATTTTAACAATCTTTTCTTTTTTAGGATTTTTTTAATTGAATTCATAGCAATTATTTTAATATATTTATAAATCAAAGTTTGGCTAGAAACTAGCGAAGTTAATCTTATTTTAGTGTTGCTTTCTCCATAAATGATTTAAATTCATTCCAAGTTAGCTAATTTAATCATTTACATAATACAAATAACATCTAATTTTAATTAGATTGATAATTTTTTTCTCCTTATTATAATGATTTAACAATTTCATTTATTAAATCATCTACCATTTCTTCAAAATTTTTCTCAGATTTTAATTTCTTAAATATAGAAAAATTATTACTTTAAAACTGATTCTTAAATCTTTCATTGAATTTTTTAATAAATCTTTTATATCTTAAATCGATAACATTCCATTATGATCTTTATCATATTCATTAAATTAATGTTACAAAGTTCCCCTAAAAACATATTTACCTTTTTCCATTACACAAAGATATTTAATCCATTCATCTCTTGTAATTCTTCCTGATTAATCCATATCTAAAATTTCCATTTCTGTTTGTAATCTATAATAATTTGGTTTATCTCCTTCATATGCATAAATTAAATATTTCAATTCTGACATAGATACTTCATTATCACAATTAATATCAGAAGCATCAAAAGCAGCCCAAGCATTCATTACATCTTAATATGCTTATTTACAAATCCATCCATCATTTTTTTAATCTTAATAAGCATTAGAAGAATCTTATAAAGTCTTAAATAGCAATTCCAAAATTTCTAATTATTAATTATTGAATTCATTTAAAAATATTTGTTTAATAGATTCTAATTCACATTATTCACATTTATCATTACCAACTGCATTTATAAAAAAGTTTTCATATAGAATTCTTTTCTCTTTATATCTCCTTCTTGCATTTTCATATGTTTAGATTAATGCATACTTTAATAAAAAGTCTTATAATTCAAAATTTCCAATTATCCACAATTTAAATTCATTAAATGATATAGTATAACTATAATCTCTATCCAATTCTATAAATAATCTTTCTGCATAAAAATCAATATCTTTTATTGAAGGAGCAGGTAAATGGACTAATTTACATAAACCACGTATGCATGTTTCTAATGCTACTACTAATTCAGCCTTTTCAATTTCACCTGATTTATCAGTATCAAATAATTGGAATATAAACTATAATTTAAGTTCTTATTCTTCATCACTAAATATTGTCTTTAAGTTAATTCATTTAATTACCAAAACAGCTAATGATTCATAAATATCATTAGCCCCTTCTAATGTAGATTTAGAAGATAAGAGAGAGAATACAGGTTATGTCCATATTTCTAAGATTGGGTTGAATACATCACAATAATCACTGTACTCTAAATACTTTGAATTTGGAAATTTAGTATTTACAACTTCAATAGCCTATTTAAAAATATCTCTATACTTCATTTATGTGTTAAAGTTTACGAGATTTAAGAAATTCAACCATTTCTCTATCAAGTTTATATTTAGGTTTGGTTTTAAAATAGTTTCCCATAAAATTTATGTTAAAAAATTTATTAAAAAACCTATAAATTAAATCTGATTATAATTTTTATTATATTCTCTTGCTTTTTTACAATTAGTTATTAATATAAATTTACTAAATAAATTAGTGAGATTACTTAAATTTAATTAAATTACAGATTTTTTGTATATTTTATTAATATTTCTTGTCTTGTCTTATTTTTTATATGAGTATTTGAATTATCTTTATATTTTGTTTACTGGGGTATATTATCAATCTATTGTTTAACAAACACACAATATTTATAATAAAGTAAAAGAGATGTCATAATGTTGTTATAATAAAATGTATAAATTTCATTATGGAAAGAACAGTGGATACATTATAATAAGAATGTCTTCATTCATAAATAACTTTCTTATTTTCATGATATTTTAAGAGACTAAAACATATGTTTTTAAAATTAAATGGGAGATCTCTATTTTTCATCTTTAGATTTGAAGGTACTTACATAAAATCTATATATTTTAACATTTAAAGTACATTTAGTTTATTTAAACAGAATTACATCAGAATCTTCAGTAATAAATTAGTCTACTTAAATATTATATTATAGATTGTTTTTTATTTAGGTTTAAGATAAAAAAATAATAAAAAATAATATGATTATAATTAAGATCTATTTAAATGATTATTAAAATTGTTTGAATAATTATCATTATCTCAAAATTGTTTTTTATGCATATCATTTTTATCCTGCATCCAATTTTTATATTTTAATTTATATACTCTTAGTTTTCATTATAATGATATTTTTATATTTAATCTATTTTTCAATGCCTCCTGAATATTTGTTTATATTACTTACATTTTTTAATCTTTATTTTTGATTTGATTATAAATACAATAATGATTATATATTTAATTTTCTTCTAATTTTTTTAATTTTCATTTTTAAATTCATTCTTATATGTTAATTTCATTTCTAAATGTTATTATTGTGTCTTCTTTTTCATAATTTGATTTTGTTTTTCTTTTGATTTAATTTTTCTCAATACATCTTAAAAAAAATACATAATTAAAAATATAGAACATATAGAATTTGTAGAATTGATTGAATATAAATAAACTCAAACTTATCTCTAATACTCTTCATTAGCTTTTGGTTCATTACTAAAGGCCTAAATATAATTTAATAAGCCTAAGATAATTAATCCTACTTCAATCCACCATGTTGATGCAATTGTATCATAGCCATCTTTATACTAAATTTATATAAATGAATTACGTATTTAGCCCCAACTATCATACCGATAAAAACTAATACAAAACCTAAACATAGACTACCAAGGATTCCTAATTTCACATATCTATGTGGAAAAAAATAAGTTGCTATCAATCCCATAAATGCTAACATCATAAAAACTTATCCAGAAATTGCGAATCTCACATAAGTCAAACTTTCATTTCTATGTGGATGTTCATTCATATAAGAATATTCTGATAATAGAACAATCTCTATCATGAGAAGTGCAAGATTACTAATTGCTAATTACTTCTTTGCATCCCTATAATAGAATATATGAATTCATTACAATTCAACCATTAAATTTGATATATATATATAAAATATTTTATTAATAAATTCATACACCTTATTATTATTATGTAAATTGTGATTCATTATTTCCCATCATAACCATTTAACTTTAATTTGATTAAGTTGATGTATTCTATGCTTGTTTCTTTGAATCATCAATTACCTCTTTCTTTTTATTTGTATCTTCATTTTATCCATTCCCCTCTAAATTTTTTAAATTATGTAGATTCACTAAACTCAAGATATATAGACATAATTGTATGAACCAAAATGCCAAAGGTGTATTATAGGGATCTGATGATTTTAATGCCTTTTTTGTCACCTCACTTATCTTAAATCATATCTTTTGTTATAATACCACATCTGATATAATTCCAACTCCAGCTATCAATAGAATTATAGAACATGTATTTATTCCAAATATCAAGTATAAGATTTTTGGATTGTATTTGTAAATTAGCATAATCTATAAACCCAAAGTAGTTATCAAAAGCAGACTCCCAGTAATAGATAACCCTTAAAAAGTTTAGATATCACTCTCATAAGGATTCTTAAACAATGCCTTATACTTATCATAATTAGAAGATAAACTAATTTATATGTGATTAATTACTTTCCTAAATCATAAGCAGCATAATATCCTAACAATAAAATTTCAATTATACAAGAGCAAACCAATCCAATTATTTTATGAACATTATCCGATCTATTATTCATAATATTAAAATGCTTACAAATTAAATGAGAGATTCATTTTATTCCTTTTAATTCCAATATTTATTTATAAATAAATACAAAATCATTTTATTCACCTAAAAATAATTATCTACATTGAAATTTATTATATATAATTAATTAATTTTAATATCTATTACTCTTTATTCATTTCATTTCCATTTCTATCGATTTAAAAAACAATTAAACAAATAGATATTATTTTAATTATTTCTATTATATTTTTCAATAGGATTAACGACATACCTTATTTATTAAATTTTTTATTTTAATTTTAAGATTGAAAAAGGGTTTGATAATAACGTAAATAAGTATTTCTTAATATTTTTTATTTTATATAATATCTTTTAAATTTATTAATAATTTTTTACAATTAACTATTATAGGTATTATGATATTATTTAAAAAATGGAACATTATTAAATAAAATGACAAAAAGGTATCTTAAGATAAAATTTAATGATTTTATTAAATTATATTATTTAATAGTAAGTATATTAAATAATTATTTAATAGTAAATATAATAATCTAATCCCCTTTCAAATAGAAAAAAAGAATTTATTCAGAATAATGAAATGTTTAAAACTCTATTAATTAATAGGATTAACAATTTATATAAAGTCTTTTTGATTTAAATTAATAAAATAATTATTGAGAGTATTATATAACTTATATTTTATTATATAAATAATAAATGTCTGAAAATGATGTTATATTAGTAACATCATCCTATGATCATACATTTATATTTTGGGATGCTACAACAGGACAATAAAAAGAGGATATAAATTATGGGGAAAAAGTGATTGTGAACAGAATTGACATATCTTAAGACAAGAAACATTTGGCTGCAGGTGGCAATTTTTTTGCTTGTTATTATGATGTGATCTCTTAAAAGAAAGTGCCTGTTTATGTTTATGATGGATATAAGAATAATATAACAGGAATAGGATTTTTAAAGGATAGCAATTTCTTTTATACTTGTTCTGAAGATGGATTTATTAGAATCCATGACCTTAGATCAAATAGTATATAAATTTAATAATTATTTAGATCTATCAAGAGAATACTAGGAAAAAGAGCCATTAAATACAATATGTTTGCATCCAAATGAGACAGAATTGATTGTTGGAGATTAAATGGGAAATGTGAAAATATATGATTTCTAATAAAATAAGGTGAGATTAAAATTATCACCTTGTCCTGAAGTTGGTATTAGATCTATATCAATTGCCTATAATGCTAGTCAGATTGTTGCTGCTGATTCATAAGGACAATGTCATACATATATGATGAATAACATGGATCTTACAGAATAGAGTTTATTATATAAATTTGAAGCACATCAAGATTACATACTTAAAGCATCAATATCTGCAGATTTAAGATATTTGGCTACATGTAGTGCTGATAAAACAGTTAAATTATGGACTTTGAATGAGAAAAATTTAGGTAATGATAAGTATCCAAGATGGGAATTGTTTTCAACTCTATATGGTAATTAATATTAAAAGATTATTTTTATAGGTCATGGTAAATGGGTATGGGATTGTGCATTTTCTTGTGATTCAGAATATATCATTACAGCTTCATCAGACTTAACTACAAAAATATGGCAAACTGATAGTGCTGCTGTGCTAAGAACTTTAAAGGGACATAAATAGGCTGTTACTAGTTTGTCAATTAATGATATTGCAATTGACTGATATTAAAATTATCACTTTTTCTTCTTCTTCTTCTTCTTTCTATATTCCCTTTTATCATTGACTTTTTTATTCCATTAAATATAAATAATTAATTCAAAAACAGTATTATTACTTAAATTGTAAATCATATATATATATGATTAATATAGCTTTTAATTACTTAATAAACTTCTAATAATCAATGTACAAATTGGATAATAAATATAATAATAATGAATATGAATTTGAATATATTAAATTACTCTAATAATTATATAATTTTAAATTTGAAATGGAAATTTAATCATTTTCTCCTATGTTAGATAGAGTTATGGCTCAAGAAATATAATCAGTTAGTTGGAGTAAAACTATGGATGTTTGTGCAATCTTATATATTAATAACTAATTAGAAATATGCAGAGTAAGTGAATAATTACAAAGAATGTTCATTATTTAAGAAGATGATACCATCAGTAATATTATTGTGGAAAGTATTTACAATTATTAAAATTAGGTACATTTTTGACTTATAATGTTGGAAATAAATTATTTATATATTAATTGGCATCTCATCAAAAAATTATTCAATCTACTTTAATCAAGAATTAAGATAAAATCACTCAAATGCTTCTTGTTTAAGTGAATGTCAAAATTATTAAAGAATAGGAATTATAACCAGCGATAATTCCATTATCTACTACAAACTTGTAATATAATTTTAATATTAATAGAAAAAATTGGTAAAATCTTTATTTTTTAAAATAATCATAAATAAATAATATCATATTCTCTTTAACTAATAGATAGATTGCTTATAATTTTAATGGGATATTTCATTTAGGAGAAATAGAACATAAAAATATAATTTAATTATAATAATTAGAAAATGAATTGCATTGTTTTTCAGATTCAAATATTGAAATTTATGATATTAGTTTAATGAAACATTAATAAATTTTAGTATAACATTTATTTTATCTAGAAATACATTTAATAATTAAGTTATTTAAATGAACTATTTTGTTTTTTAAAAACATCAATTTTATAAATAAATACTCAATTACAAGATATATTCAAATGCTATCAATTAAACATAATAGGTCCATTGTTAGCATTTGGACCTTAAGAAACAATCAATATCAATATATTACAATTTTATTAAAAAGGAAATTGTCCACAAGAACTTGTTCAATTTTTTCAAAAGGAATTGTATAATACAAAAATTTTATAAAAAATGGATGATGTAAATAAATATAATTAATTTAAATTAAGAATATCACAAACAGTTTTAATAATATATAAGAAATTATTTAGGATTCATTGATGAATGTCTTATCAAGAATATTAATCATTCTTAATTTCTTTATTTAAACAAAAAATATGTAAAAATAATAAATTGATATTTTATTAGGCCCTTTTATTAAGGTTTAAATAAAACTCCTTTTGAAGAATTATAATAAACAGTCTAAAAGATTTAAAAATTATATAGCAGATTTTAAATAGAATGTCATTAAACTAAATTACATTTAAGAAACTTTTTTGTTTGGTTAAATTTATGTGCAATAAAATCAGGAAATGAATAAGAAGCTGAATGTGAGAATGTAAATTCACATCTAAATAAAATAGAAGTAGATCTATCAAAATTATTTGATTTTTTAAAAGATAATCACTTATTTTAATTAAGAAATTTGTAATGTTTCTATTAAGGAAAAATATGTATATTACAAATTTCATTTAAATAGCACCAAAAACATTTTTTACTAAAGTTGTAGTATAGAAAAATATAGAGTTTGAATAAACAGAAAACATTACAAAGATTTTATAAAATATATTTAAAGATAGTTATATGGAATAAATTTAATAAAATAAAAATAATATAGAATCTGAAGAATCTTTTGAAACAGTCAATTCATTAGTTAGAGAATTATAAAATAATTTAGATAAAATTGCAATTAATTTGAAACCTAAAATTATAAACAAAATCAACATTAATCTTTCTGGTTAATTAATCAGATTTTCTGAAGAATCAGAAAATTCATATTTTGTATCAGTATTAATAGATAATACCATTATTTAATATACTTATTAATAAAAGAGTTTCTTCCAATTTAATAAGATTTAACTCAATAATAAATATATTAAAGAGTTATAATATTTTTAAGGAAAACTAATCATTTTAAGTACAAATAAATAAGAAAATTAATAAAATCTCTTAATGAGAACATAATAATAAAAAGATGAAGGATTATTTAATTAAATTTAATAGACAGCATATATTTCAACAGAAGATTTGTAAACTCAAAACAAATTTGAATGTCACTCAATCAAAGATCTCAAAGTTAGTAAAAAAGGATTAATATCAATTATAATAGATTCTAAAAAATTGATTATTCTTTCCATTTGAATATTATATATTTATTTAGTAATATAAATTTATTGATTTATGTAATATCAATTCTATTCTTATTATGCTGCTTATAACTTTAATATAAAGAATACTGTACTTCTTTTTTTAAATCAGCTATTTCCCTCTTCAATCTAATATTTTCATCTTTAAGTTTTTCATATTCTAATTTGAGTTTGTCAACATCAATATCAACAGGTGATCCTAAATACTTTTTAACATAACTAAAAAATCAATTGAATAAATACTCAATAGCATTATTTGGCTTTTCTGGTTCTTCATATAATCCAACTAGAACTCGAGTTAATTGATCTATAACACCAGCCTTTTCTAAATATTTTCTGAATTCTTCTTTCTTCGAATCAGTTGTCTATCAGATAAAACTCTAAATAATTACTTAGAAGCTCATTGAATTTATGATAATTATATTAATAATAAAGTTTAATTAGAAACAATCCTATCAAATAAAATATTAATAACAATAGCCAAAACTTCTCAATGAAATATATATTTATAAAGATGACTATTTGATTAATTGAAAGAATTAATCTAAATGATCTAGATCATTTAATTATTAAAATTATAAAAATGGATTAAGTAATGAACAAATCAACTTTATAAATGTATAAGCCTTATGAATGAGCAGTCAAAATTTAATAGTTATTTATAATAGGCTTATGTTAGAATCAATTATGATCCAAACCCAAAATTGTTAAAATTGGTTGGATGTAATGAAACAATTTACTACACAATTTTCATTTGAGAAAAACAATTCTTCTTTTTGTTTGCAATGGAGTTAAATTAGAGAATATAATACAATTTATATAATGTAGAGGGATTCAATTAAGATTTGATTTTGAAGAAGATTAAGATTAATGTAGAATATAAAAATAGTAGTTCTTATTTTATTAATGGAATCTGTATAATAATAAGGAATAGAATCAATTAAGATTTATAATATATTTTGAAAGATTGATAAATGTAAATTTGCATATATAATTATTATTAATTCATTATAATTTTTATATATTATTTGTTAACATGTGATGTTGTCCTCCAGTCCATCTATCTTTCTATTGTCCATTCTAATAAGTGATAAAGGTTGGTATGCTAGTTACTTATAATGAATCTGCTATTTCTCTAACCTTAATTTATAAAAAATTTAATGCTTACCTTCTCAATATTCACACTATAGAAATTGATGTGTGGATTTTCAAGAGATAATTTATGAAACAATGGTTTAATTGTTTTGCATGGTCCACACCATTCAGTATAAAAATCAATAATACATTAAGGACTACTCTCTATCAAACAAAAGTAGGATTCTGAATCTTCAATTGGTATAACATTAGTATCTATTTATTAAGGCTATTATTGGGGTTATTAAGCTGCTTTTACTGTTTAAGTCAAGGGAACATTCAATTGTGGTTAAGGTTATTATTAGTTTATTATTTAGGGATTTATATTTTAAAAATTTTATAGTGCCTATAATTCTTAATTGTTTAGATAATTAAAATGTTCAGTCTAATCAGAAGCCTATTTATTAGTGATTTATTCTATAACTGGTTTAAGCATTTAACCTAATTGAGTATTTAAAAATTCTTATGGCAATCCTAATGTGAATAGAGATATAATGATTTACCTGTAATATTTTCTGGAATACCTTTTCCAACTAAAAATTAAGCACATTCATTAGTAAAATTATTGCAATTATTTTTAAATAGATCATATTTTTCCATTGTATAATTTGAACTTATACTCCTCAAGAATTCTTCAAATGTACTCTGTGGTATTTCTGTTTCTCCTAATTCTCTTTCCTAATTCTTAGAATTAATTAATAAACCTCTATTGGATATCCATATATAGTTGTTTTAGGAGCTTAAGCACAAATACCTCCACCAAAAAAATATTCTTTTCCATACACTACTATTCCTGTATGCCAAATTGCATCAATTTATTTGCCTAAAAACATAGGTGAAAATTGTTTGGCCATTCCTTAAGACAAATCATACATGTTGAGTGTAACCTTATATATTTGATTATCCATCTGGAATATAATAATTAATACTAAAAAAATTAATCAAACAAATAATTTCATTTTAATTCAAAAATACATTGAAACCTAACATCTTCATTAAATTATACTTCAAACATATTAACTAAATCACATCAAATTCCAAAATACTAAATAATCAATATTTATAATAATTAATAAAATTAATTAACTGAAATGAATAGAGCTAAAATCGAAGAGACTAATAGAAGATATTAAGTATTTCTTTATTATAAAGATTAGGAATATAAAGCTGAATTAAGAATACCAATTCTCCCCTCTAGTCAATAAGATAATTATTATACTTAAAGTTTAAATAGACTTTATCCTGAAATTACTCCATCCCCTGCCATAAAACCCCATCAAGCATAAGCTTATAATCCAGAGAAGACAAGACTTTATATAGAGAGTCTGTAAAAGCAAAATCAAGAAATAAATTGTGAATTAAGACAATAAGCTCATGATATTGTTTGTTTGACTTAAATGGTTAATACATTAATTGATGAAAATAGAAGTCTTTCATTATTACTTGAATAAAAAGATTAAGAAATGCATTCAATTGTAGAAACTATGACAATTAATGAAGCTGAGGAAATATCTGACCTTAGACACTAATTAAGATTATTGGAGGATGAAAATTCTGTACTTTTAAAACATGTTAAAGAATAAAGATAATAATTAGATGAAAAAATAGAAGATGCTTAGGAATTAGAAAAGTAATTTTAAAATTCAAAAAAATATTGTCTTTAACTTGAATAATAGATTGAAAAATATAAATTATCTGAAATATCATTATCTGAATAAATGTAAATACTTAAGGAAAATTGCAGAACTGAAATAGAAATGAAAAGTTCTTATTAATTTGAAAATCAAAAAAAAGATAGTGTAATTACATCATTAACATTTACAGTTGAAAAATTGAATAAATAATTATTATAATTGTCATCAGATTATGAGAAATTGGAATCAGATAAAAATGAATTACATTCTATTAGCAATCTAAAAATTTATGAATTGAATTAAAAATTAGATGATTTAAGTAATGAATTATCAAAATATCAAATTACTAATGATACATTAATTATAGAAATAAATTAATAACATTAAGATATTATAGATAAGTAATAAGTTTGTGAAAGATTAGCTGATTAAAATGATGATATTATGAATAAATTATCTATGGAAATAGTGAAATAGAAAATATTATATGATAATGAAAATAGATTATAAGAACATATTGGATAATTAAGTATATAAAATATTGAATACTTTAATACAATAAAATACTAATCAGAATAAATTAATACACTAATTAATCAAAGTGAAGAGGATTTAAATACTTAGAAGTAAAGATTTGATGAAGTTATTTTTAAATTAAAATAAGATTATGTGAATGAACTTAAAGAAAAATAATTGGAAATCAAAGAACTTGAAGAAAAGAATACTTCAATTCTAAAAGAATGGAATAATGTTAAGAATGAATATGAAATACTTAAAATAGATTATGAATAAAACTAAAAAGAAATTAGTGATTATTAATAATAAAAAAGAATTATTGAATAGCTTTAATTACAAAACAGACAATTAAAATTGTAATTGGAAGAAAATAAAGCATTATTAAAAGAATTTGTATCACATAAAGATGGAGTTTAGGCAGACATTGAAGAAAGAGATAAACATATACAAAAAATAATAAATTAAAAAGATGATAGAATTGCTGAATTAGAAAGAGATTTTTAAATGTATTATGAAAAATGTGCTATTCTTTAATAACATTAAAAAAATAATGAACATTTAGAATAATTAAATTTTACTTATAGAGAATAAAAAGAATTATTTGAATAAGATAATGAAAGATTAAAATAAGAAATTTAAAAATTGTAAGGTTAAATTAATAATTATGCAACTGTCTAAAAATAATAGAAAATTAAAGCAGAAAAACAAATTAGTGAAGAAAATCAATTACTCAGAAAATAGTATAATGAAATTGCAAATGAACTATAAAAATTAAAAGATCAATAAGCAAATATGAACACATTACCTATACAACCTAAATAACCTAGTGAAGCTGGAAGCAGAGTAAGATAAGGAGGACAATCATAAGATTTCTAATAAACAAAATAAAATTAAGTTTATCTTCAACCATAATAATTAATCTAAGTATGAATAAATATCTATCATTAAGCCACCTTCTCCTCATCATTCATAACATTCACCTGTTCTATCAAGAAGAAACATTTAAGAATCTGATGATGGTTCTGTTAAAGGAGGAGGAAATACTAAAGAGAATAAAATGTAGTTTTCTTTTACTGACGATCTATTGAAATAATAACAATAAGTTAAAAGATAGAGAGATCGAGAAAATTCTTATCATTCTAACATGTCAAATGCTCCATATAGAAAAAAATCACAATAATAATGAATCATACTATTTATTATATTAAATTTTATTCTATTTATATTTTACTATTACAAATTTGTTTATTTAATTTAATATATATTATGCATAATTGAATTCTGTTTAATTTAGTATGAATAACATAGAATTGATAGAAATAAAATTATATACAATTTAATTAAATTACTTATTAATATCAATAAAATTAAATTGAAACAAAAGTTATTTTAACAAAAATAATTTTATAAAAAAAATAGATTTTTAAACACATTCATAATTCAAAATCAAAGATTGGAACATTTGCTTGAGTATATTTGATTTTATGAAATTACAAACTTGAAAAATCTGGTACATTCATAAAAGATTCCAATCTATTTAAATATTGAAAAATTAATTACTTTTCTTTTAAAAAATTGTAAATTTGTATTCTACCAAATTCTATTGCTCTCTCATCATTTACAATCACTGACTCTTAAAATTAGTATTAATATAAAGAATCTACTGTTTATCTAATTCCTTCTTAAATTAATGGTTATTCACCATCATATATATCAATTGTTTTAGGATCAAAATCCCATTTACCAACAGGTTTAGCAGGTTCTATATTTTAAATAGATTGATCTTGTTAAACTTCTTCAGTTTATTGTTATTATTACTAATTTTAATCTTATGTCTATTCTTCTTCAAAATAAGGAACTAATAAATTAACTATAGCAGTGATATTTTCAAGTTGAATTTAAGGCTATTTAAAGATAATATTAATTTTTTTCTTTGCTTCAACCATATCTAAATCATGTTAAGTTATTTCTGGCTTTTGATAGGTTTCCTCTTTCTGTTAACTCTGAATCTATTATTAATCTTATTATAATTATTATTAGTCTTCTGTCTATTAAGAAGATTATTCAGGATTTTATTATGGATCAATATCATCTGATTTAATTTAAACTTCAGATTTTTATATAGATTCTTTATAATTTACTGATTTAAAGTAAATTTCAAAGAAACCATCAAGCAATTTATTCAAAATAGCTTTTCTAATATTAGTTACAAATTGTTATGATACATAAGATGACCAAAAAGGGGATTGACTCCTTAAGAATTCAATAGTTAATTATTTTGCATTTTTTTCAAATACATATAGATCTTCATCTATTTTATTCAATGCTTCTTAAATAATGGGTTGCATAGCTGAATTGATAGTGATATTAAACTAATTGCATTTATTCATTAAAAGATCCAACCAAATAGTCTATATTATTGATTCATCAATTTAATCAAGTTGATCACCTGTAATAAGATCTATGCCTTCAGCTAAAAGTAAAAAGAGATCCTAATGCAATACAACTCCTTTTTATCCAACTTCAGCAATTCCTTCCTATATATTAACCTAAAAGATAGAATTTGATGATTCAGCCTTAGAAAGTGTTAGATTATATAATGCACTTCTTTAGACTTCTCTTTTTTCCTTTATTGCTCTTCTTCTTTTTATTTCTGCTTTTCTCTTCTTTTTTTCCTCAATTTCAATTCTTCTCTTTTCTAGTCTATCAAGATGTTCCTATCTCTTTTATTATTCTTTTTTATAATATAATGAATGCTCTTGAATAATTGGAGTTTATATTTCTTCTAAAAATGATTAGAGACCATTTTAAGAAGTCTCAATATTATTACAATTCTATTTGATTCTTTCGATAAACCAAGGGAGAGTGTTTACTTTAAGTTCAAGGAAATGATCATTCCTCAATACACCTAAATTCTGGAGATCATTCAAGATCCTTGAATTAACTCCTTTCATAACAAGTTTGGAGAGCACTCGAGCTATATATTTCTATTATGACAGTTTCATCTAATCTTGATATAATTTGTGCTGCAATAATCTTCTTTCCTAAAATATAATAGCCTATTTTAAGTACTCGTTCTTCTCTTCTCCTTACATAGGCTGCTTCCATCCTCTATGTAACCATTAATTCAGCATTTCTTTTTTTTTCAAAAGCAGCCTTTTATATATGTAATTCTTCTCTTTCTGATTCCTCAATCAATTCCATTCTAGCCTATTCAACAGATTTCCCAACTAAAACCTATAACACAGGCTCCACTTCTAATTTATAATCAAATAAATCTGGCTCATAAGTTTCAATTTATGTTTGCCTATCAATTCCCTTTGGTAAAGGCTTGTATTCAGGAGTTGACTTAAGTATTAAGTTACAATTACAGGTCGATCTATATAATAATCTGGTTTGATTTATGATTCATTATCAGGAAGATCAGTCAATTCTTCATAAATGTCTTGATCTCTATACTTTGGATGAGATACTTAAGGCTCAGCTTCAAACTCATAAACATTTGTATGAGCTTGCATATTATTTAATTTAATAACTTGTGTATATTTATATATATAAATAAGACAATCCATTCTCATTAAAATTAAATCTAAAACTATTTATTATAATCAAATTCAATAATTAGCTTTTATATATTATAATTAATTAAATTCTACGATAAAGCATTTTAAAGATCTTTAATATTGTAATTCATATTATATGAATTATAATAGTAATTATACATATAATTTTATAATATTTTTAGATTTCATCATACGTTTAGAGTATGTTTGGATTATTATAATGCTTCATTTAAATTCAATAAAAATTTCAATCTCTTCATTTCTATTATTCATCTTATTCTTGTTAATTTTTGATAAGAAAAATTATTGCTTTTCTTAAATTTATTAATTCAATTTTTAAATCTTTCAAATATTATAAAAATCTAATAAATTGAAATAATGAATACAAACTCAACTCAGCTATTTAAACTGTCTATTCAAAAAATAAGATTAGAAATTATTTTTAAAATAATGAGATTATTATTATTTTATGTATTCCTTATTCTTATTATTTTTGCTTATGCAAAAACTAATCCATAAAATAAGTTATAAGACTTTAAGAAGAAGAATAATTAAGGGAAAAGGAAAAATAACATTAATAACTCATCTGATACAAGATCATCTGGAAATTAAAACAAAAATTAAACAACAAAAAGTAATACTTATAAAGAATCATAATTAAAGATTTTGAATGATTTATAGCCTTTGTTTGGTGTAATGAAATTATTACTTAATAATTTTAGTTAAGAAAATAAGATTAAAATGGATAAGTATTTAACAAAAAGATTGCATTAAATTTAGAATAATCAAATTAAACATAAAAAGGAACAGGAATAGGGAGTGATGATGAGCAATTAATATTGATATGGGATTAATAATTGGGAAATTTTGAACCAGAATTTACTTTAACTTTTGATTTACCTTCTGGATCTATTGAAGTATATTTGATTTAATATTTTAGATATTTTATGAGGATATCTTATAACCTACAAATATCAAAGGTGCTTTCTTTATTTCTTAGATTTAACGTGAAGAGAGGATTGATTTTTTTATTAAATCATCAAATAATACTTTGATTTATTCTAAGGAAAAAGTAATAGAAGCAATATTTAATATTGATATATTGGAAAAAGGAGAATACAAATTTATCTTCTAGAATAAAAGAGTATGAGAAATCGCTATAAACATAGACCAAAGGTACTCAAACAATTACATTCACTCTAGATGTACATGATTCAGTATAGGAGTTTTTGAAAATAGAAGATTTAGATCCTTTAGAATAAAGAATAGAAAGAATATAAATGGCAATGAGAGTAATAAATAATTTTATGTTAAAAAGGATAATTATTATTTTGATAAAATGACTGGATAAAAATTTGAAAGTAATTTAAGAGAAGTATAAAATTCAAATGAAAATTTATTTATATTTAGTATTATTGAGATTGTAGGAATGATCTTGATTACATTATGGCAAGTGTTTTATTTAAAGAGAATAATTAACAATCAAAGAATATTTTGAATTAATTATATTTAAATAGTTAATTTAGAATGAAATTGTTTATTCATACTCAATCTTTATTAATGATAAAATAATTGTTTATAGATATAAAATATAATGAAATAATAATAAATTTCTACACCCTCAACTTAATTTGGATTAAGACATTCTTTACAAATCTAATCATCTCCAAATATAAAATTATACTAATAATCAACTTATCACTCACCATATCAGTCACCACTATTATAATAATAATCACTATCTTAATAAAGACAACAAATATAATAAAATAATTTGGTTAATATTAATAGAAGTTTGTTTAATGATAATTAAAATAAAAAATGCAAATAATAATAAATAGTAGATTTGAATAATATAGAAGAACCATGGAGATAGAAAGTATTTGAATTATAAAGAAAAATTTAATAATTAGAATAATAATAATAAAATTAAGAGTGTGAATAAGATGAAAGTGAATTATCTCAAGTTTATAGTTAAATATAACAGTTAGTAAATACTATAAAAATATTGCAAGAAGAAATTTAAAATTTATAAGAAAAATTAAACATAAAATAAAATATAATTGACGGTTATGACAAATAATTGATTGGTAAAGATAAGGAATTAGATGATTAAAATCATTATATTTAAGAATTACATAATTAATTAGAAGAATAAACTTTAAAAATGGATGATAAATAAAAACTTTTACTTTAAGAAATCAATTCATGGAAAAAAAAGTTTATTGAATAAAATAAGTATATTATTATATTAATTAATAGAGGATTACATGAAATTTAAGAAGAATAAATTAAAATTTAGACATAAATTGATAATCTTAAAAATATTAAATTGATATTAAATAAATAGAGTGAATAAACATGAATATATATACTTTTGCTACCTCATTAATTACTATCTTTATTAACTGATTAAATTCTTTAATAATTATTTATTTATTAATCTAGATTGTAATGTGGAAAATAGTCATCAAATTGACTAATTTTTTCAAATGATTACAAAAAATTACCTTCAATAGATGTTCTTCTTTATTTCTGATTTTCAATTATAGAATAATTACTCATCATTGTTTAATTTTTTCTTAAATCTCTTTATTATTATTTCTATTGAATATCTGTTGGATACTTCTAAAATTGTGTTTATTTATCTGTACTATTTTTATGATATTTTATTTTATTTTGAAATATACTATCCTAAACTCTTTATAAAGGATTATATTAAAAAGATGATCCTTACATTTCTTCTTTTTAACTATATTTTTAGAATTTAGACTATCCTATTTCTTTTATTTCATTTTATATTATTTTTCTACTACTATTACTACTACTAATTCCTTGAACTGATAAAAAATTATCAGAATCCATTCTTTTAGAATACAATGTCTATCCACTATGTGAATAACTCACATAAGGAACAGAACTTAATTCTAATTGATTGATTAGATTATTAATATTATTTGAACTTGATGAAGAATTTTATGATGGGAGTATTTTATTAAAAGGTTCCACTTTATCTTTTTCTTCTGATTCAAAGGATTCTGAATAATCGTCTTAATTATCATCAGATTTTATAATAATTTTCTTTTTTTTTCTATGAATTTCCTAATTAAAATATAAAAGATTATTACTCTTTTAAAATCAGATACTCTACTCTATTCATTATGAAATTTATAACTATTAATTATCAAATATTTATTAGGTTTGTAATTTACAAATGGACATTATGTTATTTCATGAGCTTGATGACATCCAAAACAACAAATACTAGTTAAATAAGGATCATTATGTAGTACTATAGTGTCAATTAACATTCTATATTTCTAAAATTCTCTTGGACATTTTTTTATTAATTAATGAAATTATTAAGAATTTAAACAAGCTATTTTTGAATATCCTATGCTTTCAAATTAAATTCCTTACATTTAATTTTTAAAAAAAGCTCCATTATTAAAAATTTAAAATGGATTTTTAATTTTAGTTAATTTAAATTCTTATAAAGATGTATCACCTTTTTAAATTAATTAAATAACTCCTTATAAATGAATATATAATGCTGGTTTTTATAAAATGATTTCATTAGGTTTTAATATTTATTCTTAAATTAAATCACAAATATTAAGTATAGTCTAAGTTGAGAATGATAAATTAAATATTGGAATATCTGATAAAATCTTATAATATTTTTCTCTTTTCATTTTCTTTTATACAAAGTTTGGCATTTAATTTATATCAAATATTTATTATTGTTTTTAATAACTATATTGATAAATCAATTTTTATGTATTTGGTTAATAATTTAATTATTAATCAAGATTAAGTGATTAATAATTGATTATTTGTTTGAATTTATACATATAAAATATTATCAAAAGTATTTTAATTAAATATATGAGAAAGTAATATTGATCAATTATTTATGGAGTAACAAATATTAATGTAAATATATTCTATATATACATAATATAATCTTATTCAATTTAAGTAAACATAAATATGATCGTTTAGGCAAAACAAGTAAAAAAATGTAATTAAATAGTTATTTTTATAACAAATATATAATCTTATTAATTAGAGTAAAAGTTTAAATTCTAAATACAATTATTAATTTTCCTTATCCTGATCAAATATAATAAATATATTAACTTTTAAGATTGTAAATTGTTAATTTAATAAGAAATAAATGGTATTAATCCTAAATTATCAATAATAATATTCCAAATATCTCCTCTATAAAATATTATTTACTTTGAAAACTCAATTATTTGAGTTATTAACATAATGTATTAGAATATAGCAAAATTTGATATTATCAATTTATTGCATCCAATCTCTATTAATAAAATTGTTAGATAAAATAAAAGAAAAATAATATATACACTGAATATGAAAAGTTTAGGAGCACATTCACGTTAAATGAATTTCTCTATTTGATCTTTTAATGGGACAAAGTATTAGGCTGACAAATCATTAATCAATTTAAACTACTTTTTTGTAAGGATTATTTTAGATAATAGTGTTGTTTTCTCTCTGTATAATAATGAAAAGGATGAATGAGAACTTCTATTCTTATTAAAAACAGATTTCTTAAATAATTAATCTGAATCATTTCTTTTCTTTATCATACTTAATTATTGAGAATCCTCCTTATTACTAGGTTCTTCATTAATAAGAAGTAAATCTTATTAATTATGAGGTGATGCTCTATCTGATCCTATTTATACACTAACTTATGTTAAAGTAGGTGATTTTGGATGAGTAATTTTCACTTATTGATTTTCAGATTGAATTTATTTTCTACTTTCTTAAGAAGGTTTACGTACTCTCATTTATTGTTAATTCATAGTTGACATTAGTTAAATAATAGGTTTGCATAGAGAATCCTCATTTGGAGGACTTGTTGTAGAATTTTAAATCATTATTTATTATATTAAATCATGCTTATTTTAGATTTGCCATCTCTGGTTATTCAAGAAATTCCTTTAAAGTTTCAGGACATCTAGATGCACTTAAACCACCATTTTATTTATTTAAATCTTCATCAAAAATAAAACATAATAGCACAGTGTCACATGCCATTCCATAAATTGACATAAAAAGTACAGCTAATGCATATGCTATAATGAAAACAACCTAAATTAATTAATAATATTACAATACAAGGGAAAACTGGAGAGAATATCTTTTCTTTAAATTAATCCATAGTTGTAATTACATAATAAAAGATCATTAAAGTGACAATTGAGATGCAGAATTTACCAACAAAAATGAATGCTCCACCAATGCCATTAACTAAAGAAAATCTCATACTATTAGCCCAAATAGTTTCAAAAGCAGCTTTAGCAGCAGAACAAAAGTTTTTACCAGTTAGAGCAATCATAATGTAAGCATTATTATTTAAAAATCTGATGAACCTTTCAAAACATGCCATTAAACAACTCAAACATCTTAATAAACATTTGACTGCTTTATTTTCAGAACCAGCTACTTTTTCAGTTTAATATCTAACATATTCTAACATGATTCTAATAAGTTATACAATAGCCAAAATTAAAGAACCAAATGCTAATGAACCAGCATGATATCTAAATGCTCTATAGAGAGATTATGAAATAGCTCTTTCATCACCTCCAGCACCTTATTGTGCAAAATACCAAAAACAACAAGTAGAAGCAATAACAAAATTATTCACAGCTTAAATGAATGCATTTATCCATAATCCACCAAATATGAAATACCAAATATATTATATTTATAATTCTGTATGTGTTACTTCAGCAAATGGACTACTACCTGTTCCTTTAATTTCTCCAACAGCATATACATATGCAGCAGTATAAATCCACCAAAACCAAAGACCTGCCAAGACTATAGCAGTAACTTAAGGAACAAAGATTAATAAGAAATGATCCTTTACACACATAGCTGCAGTCTTAATTACAGCTATAGCTAATCTTATTTTATTGAATATGCAAATTAATCCAATAACAGCAAAAGCACAAATACCATACATAACATATGTTAAATATTGGAATGTTAATTAATTATCTGATGCTTTATTGGTTTGTTCTACTGTATACTTTCCTGTTGTATCATTCATGATATCTTAGTAATAGAGATCTTATTAATGACACCAATATGTTCCGAATCCCAAACCTACTAAAAAGAGAAATATAGATGTCCAAACCAATACTCCAGCTAATAATCTTGTGAAAAACAAATAAATTATTCTATAATATAATTATATATATATATATACCCCATTAAAAATGCAACAGCAAATGAACAATAGATTGCTTCCTTTGTTTATGTTAAATCTTCTATGTAACCAGTCAAAACATCCATAGCAAATTAAGAACCATATTCTTAATAGTTATCGAATAAAGCTAATAAGGCATCTGGATAACAAACACGATCAAATACTAAAATTTAATATTTATAATTTACAGATTGATGAATTGAAGATACATAAGAAATCTTTGAATACATCAGTACTATTAGATGTTGCAAATGTCTTTAGTGCACTAGCAGCATCACATTTCTTTTCACAACTTTTAACCAAAATGTTTGGTTAGCAAGCAAGAGAAGTTGGTTTAGAATTTTCATCTGCATATAAAGGACATTCTTTCACACAGACTGTTCTATTAAAGTAATCTCCAAAAGGTATTGCAAAATACAAATAAGGGTAATCTTTATTATTATCAAATCCACAAGCAACACCTATGATTAAATATTTCACAATTTTTACCATTTGGATCATACATTGCAAGAAGTCTTTCTGGTTCTCCTTTAGAATAAGCTTCCTAAGAGATAAATCTACTTTAAATATATTTAATACATCAAAATAGCCATCCCTGCAATAAAAAGTAGTAAACAAAGTATATCTGTACAACCTCTATCTGCCAATGGTCCTGCAATAAGTCTAGGATCAATTTATTTCTAATTGCCTTATTGATCTGGTATTGTTGTAAGAGCCTTTTATGAGATTTCTGGACTTGTAGTAACTTAAGCAATCACCTAAACTTAATTGGCAGGCTAAACTTTATTATTTTTTCTCATTTATTAATAAAAATTTCAAAGTAAATATTATTAATTTATAACTCTAATAAATTAACAATTAAGGTACATTTTTGATCAACAATCTTTTTGTTCTAAAATATTTAAATGAATTCATAATAGTAAAAATAGTTTATTTATTTTGATCAATTCTATAAGTAATAAAATATGTAAGAGATATTAAATGATATTATAATTAAGAACTAATTAATCATGATTAGATAATAATGTATTAAATAAAATATTTTAATTTTAGATGTAAGAATATAATTTTTAAGTGTATTAAAAACCAAAAAATGAATTTGATGTTAGTTATGAAGATTAAGTAAAACAAAAAAAACAAAGATTATGGACTGGAAAACCTATACCATAATTATAAGATGATTAAGATGATGATATATTTGATTTACCAAAAAAAGATGAAAAAGTAGAAATTACAAAAGTTGAGTAAGAAATTTAAAGAAATCCTTAAGAAATTGTTCAAACATTTTAAAAAGTTGAAAATGATAATTATTAAATTGAAGTTGTTGATGAAGAAGCAGCTATGATGAGAAGAAGAAGAGTAATTTAATCTAGATTAGCAGAAGAATAATAATTATTGTAATAAGAATAATAATAAAATCAAGAATAAAAAAAAGAGAAAAAGTAAAAGGAAAGAAAAAAAGAGAAAAAACATAAAAAGAAAAAGGATGATATCATTTATAAAAATGATTAAGATGAATAAGAAGAAGATAATTAAGAATAATAAAAAGAAATTGAATTACTAAAACCAGTATTTGTTTCTAGAGTTTAAAGAGATTAATTAGATAAAATAGAAGAAGAAGAGATTAGATTAAAAGAAGAAAAAACAAAAAATTTAGAAAGAATGAGATTAGAAAATAAAATTTTAATTTTAAACTCTGTTAAATCTGATGCTGCAAAAGCAATTAATGAGGATAGTGATGATGGATAATAAAAATTAAATGATGAAGATACTTTAGATGAAACTGAATATGCATTATGGAAAATAAGAGAATTAAAAAGAATCAAATAATTTAATGATGAAAAAAATAAATATGAGATAGAAAGAATTGAAATAGAAAGAAGAAGAAATTTAACAGATATGTAGAGAATTCAAGAAGATTTTAAATTAGGTTCTGATAAAACAAAAATGGAAGATAAAACAAAATATGTTTTCATGTAGAAATATTATAATACAGGAGCTTTTTATAAAGATATGGATGATCCTATATTTTAAAGAGATTATAATTTACCAGTTGGTGAAGATTTGTGGGTATTATAATATTATTATTATTTTTAAGAGAAAGGACAATTTACCATAGATATTACAGAAAAGAAGAGGAGAATTTGGAAAAAAAGGAAATTCTAAATATACTCATTTAACTTAAGAAGATACAACTAATTTTGATCCAAGTTATTAAGTAGATTAAAATATTAGATAAAAATTCTTAAATTAATAGGCAGGATCAAAATCTTCAAATAATTTCTTTAAACAGTTTAAAAAAAGTTGATTATTTTAATATATTTAATAATTTGAAAAGTATGATAAATAATTATAAAATTAAGAAAAATATTAAATAATTTTCATTTGATTTTCTAATTATTAATTGTTTTGTTTCTTAATAATTATTGAATAGTTTCTAATTTTAATGGAAAAGCTATATATAATAATTTATAAATAAATACATGGTTATGGATATTATTATTCAGTATTAGTTCTTGGTCTATTTTAAGGAGTTTTGTTTTGATGCAATTATTACTAACGTTATTTTTAGACATTGAGATATGATGAATCTGGAGATCTATTATTAACTCTATAACTAATAGGAGTGTAAGAATTTTATTATTCAGTCATTACTTATCTCTCTGTTCTACAAGCATCTGCAAGTAAGGATTTTAATTATGTATTATTATTATTATTATTAGTTGGACTTTATTATTTAATCATATTAGTTAAATTATTTTTGATATTATTATTTTTATATGGTTATAATTGAAATGTCATAACACTATTAATGATATCTTATGTAGTATCAGTATTTAAATTACTAGTATTACATGGATTAGATTATTTTTTTAAATAAACACTAAAATCAAAGTCTGCTTAATTTTATTATTTTATTAAATTTTTTTAATTAGTAGGAGATGAATCAGATCCTCTTTTTTTATTAATCATTTATTCTAAAAGATTAGTTTATATTTTGACAGTTTCACTAATAAGATTTTTAACTGATTATTATTATTATTATTATTTTGGTGGTGATCTTGAATTAAGAAATGATTTAATAAAATTACCAGTTAATTTAGGTGATTGATCTTATTTTTCAAATTTTGAATTTGGAATATCTTTATTAATTTATATTTGTAATACTTTTCCTTTAATTTTTGATTATTCTTATTCATCTATTATCTTTTTTTCAGATGCATTTGATTATAATGATTCTTCTCTAATAACATCTAAATTAATATTATAATGTTTATGATAACTTGTAATTAAATGAGATATATATGGTGATTGATAAATGATATGTCTACATACAATTTCAATAGATTTAAGATGATATAATTCACTTAGTTTAAATTCTTCAGTATCTATTTTATCATCTTTAACACCATGTTACTTAGCTTTTTCTAATTCAACAAATCTTAATTCAGTAGCAATTGTAAAATATGAAATTGAAAGATATATAACTTTTTCTAATAATTATCTTTTTGCTAATTCAAATATCATTTCACCAAATTATGTGAAATCTTCATATATTTATGGAACCATATGCATAATTGATCCAATATTAAAGTTTTTAATCCATTCAGCCAAATTTTGAATACCCAACAAAGATCGATATTCTTCATTTTAAGTTAC